AACATGCAAATGATGCAGTGATTTTTTTGTTTGTTTTTTGAAGGCCTGGCAAGGTGGCTAATTAGGGGGAAAATGCAGTGTAGTGATGTTCAACTGTAGCAAGGCGACGCTGCTCTAACTAGCATGCTTTCATAATCTTCGTCCTTACGTAAGGAAGGTCCAAAGCTCTTGACTCCATTTTGAAAGCATTTACAATGGGCTTTTAAGCCCAAAAATAGTCGAAATGAGTTCATTCATGGGTAATTTTCTAGAAATTACTTGCTGTGTCTCTGTAGTAGGAAGAAATGAATAGCAGCCTGATTTTTGCAAGGGATGAGCCTATCAAGCCAAGTTTGAAGAGAAGGAAAAGCTGTTAGAAACCCTGCATGGGGCCCTTTGGTGGCTTTCAGTGGATGTTGGCATGGTTTATTATGTAGGACAGAGGTTTTAGAGTGAAATCACTGCTTTGTGCCCCAGGGCTTCATTCACTTCAGCACTGGTTTCTTAAGAAATTGTTTGTGTCCAGTTGCACTGGGTCACTGCAAACCTGGATTTGGGGGTTAGACATAACGTGCCTAAATGTATTGTATCAAGGAGGAAAACCCAGCAAAGAAACTGGAGGGAGACAGAAATACAAGCAAACTGTTTATGCATTTATTTAGTTCTTGCAGTTTTGCTGTAAAACCTCTCTTAAAAAACATCAGCACTAATCTCAGCAAGTAATTTCTGTACCAACAACTGCTGTGCTTGGATGCATCTCTGCCCTAAACATGCTGAATATGGGGCTTCAGCTCCCTCTTTCTTGAAGGAGACAGGCAGGCTGGGATGATGGAAATATCTCTTACTCAGATTCTCTCTTTTCACAAAAACCTTATGTTGTAAGGGGTATGAACTAGTATCTCTCTCTCCTGGAGAGATCCTGCCTCCAAAGTGGTTCCAGGGGAACCTCCAGGAATAGGCAGCATTTGATTTTAGGGGACAGGGTTCAATTTGCTTTCCTGGCTTTCTGGTTGACCTTTACTGGGTTATGTCATTGGTGTGAGTGGCTTGTTCAGTCCCCTTAAGGTTAGGATTGACTGAGAGGTTTAGAAACCAAGGAGGACAGCTTTCTGCATCAATGATGGACTCATTTGGAGATGCAATTAATTATATCAGGGTGACTGGCTCCGGCCAGGTTAGGAGCTTACCCACCATGTGCTTGCAAGAAGATGACGTCTTTGCCTGGAAGGTTTATAATCTACTTTTCGAAAGCTTCTTGACATACAAGGAATTGGGCTGTCAAGTAATAGCATTGTGGTGTTATAGAGACTACCCAACACATGCCATCGTGGGGCAGTGTTACGGAGGGCACCTCCACTGACGTCCATGCTCTTTGCTGATTCAGAGCAGCCAGAGAGGTTCATCCATCTGCGATGCTCTTCAAGAGGATGGTCTTCACTTCTAGTGGTGTTGTGATGAAGATGATGTTACAGCTCCTAAGTGTGTATTTGGATGGTCAGACCTTAAGTGACGTTCTGTCCTCAGAACAGTTTTAAAATTCTGCTTCCTCTGCACAGCTGCATTTTTCAACACACATCTGGCCAGAGTTTTGTTTGAAGTTTATTTAACTTGTGTTTGGGATCAAGTTCCTGGGAAAGGAATGGATGTGCCTCATACCTGAGCAGCCACATGCAGCCCTGGTGGGATCCTATTAAGTTTTGCCCTTCTTGAAGGGTGAAGCAGGGTCTGCAGGCTCTGTAGGGGCTAGAGATGAGGCAGGAGTGGGATATTCCACTCCTGGGGCTGAGGTCGTCTCTCCATGGGGTTAAGCTCAGTGACATCTGTCTAAGTGCTGAGGATGGGACAGTCACAGTGTGCTGAATTTTAAAACTCAAATAAAATCCCAGGTTTTAGCTCACTGCAACTCATATTTTAATGCTGCCCCTAAGATGTGTGAACATCACTACTGTGTTTATATGGCCAAGATTGTCCAGTCTGGCAAACAGAAATCCCATCCCCCAAAGGCTGTTTTCCTGTTTGGCTTTCACGAATCACCTCTGTGTGCAGTATCAGCTCTGTCTAAATTTACCTTTCCCCAGTCCAGCTGGTGGAGGCTCTTGCGTATTGACTTGCCACCTCAGATCTGTTTGGCTCCATGTTTCCTTCGAGTGGCTCCAGCAGTGGAGGCTGGGGCTCCCCTGTCCTTTAGGTTAAAGCTTCCTCCAAATCTCAAGCCAACTGCATCTCAGGAGGGCTGGTGTCCAAGCAACATTTGACCCTGGCGCTGCAGAAACCAAAATACACTGGGAAGAGGCAAGAAGTGTTTTTAACCTTGTTATCAAACAGCAGAGCCTGTGCCCTCTCTGGGTTGGTTACGATTCTGCTGTGCCAGAGTTTGGTGTACAGGTAAGGCATGAGAAGACCTTGGTCATGCTAGTCCACATTTACAGAGGCGGAATACTGTTGTAGCCACGTTTCTTTGCCTTTGTTAGCCCTGATTCATGCGATATGAGCTCTTCACTGTGTAGGTGGGCAACAGCAGTGTCATCCTACCTGTGGCGTCCTACCCATGTCGAAGGGCTTTACGTTGATTGCTTAGTGGAGGCAGTCCAACCTGCCCTTTCCAGTCTCCCTTAGCCTGAGAGATGATTTACAGCTCAACACACTTTGCTTTTCTATTCCTTGTATGTCCACATCCCTGGCAAGACTGCTTATGGGGGCGTGTGTTCAGTTGCTGCTCAGTGTGGTGTCACATCTTGAGTGGGGGCTTGCATTGCATCTACCCAGCAGTCCTTCTTGGCTCCAGCTGGTGGTCTTGCATTGCCCTTTGGTTTCTCTAGTTGAGCTGTCTCTAGTCTGAACGCTACACACTTTATTTCCTTGTAATTGCTGCAGTCTCTGAAAGCAAATATTGAGTATTACCCGGCAGAGAGAGGATCACCTTGCAGTGTTATCCTGAGGAAACCTGACCTACGGGGTGGAGGAGGGGTGGGGGGAACCTGAGATGCTGAAAGTAACCCAAGGCAAGGGAGCAGGTCTGCCTGGATGGATCTCTAGATCTTTATGTGGCTGCTGCTCCCTGCTGACAGCTCTGGGCATCGTGAATATATTGCAAAAAGCTCTTTCAGCTCGACCTTGGGTGACCCAACACTGGGCTGTGCAAGAGGGTGTGATGGGGGTGTTGTCTCTGTCTTCTAGACAAGTCAGGCTTTGATTGGGAGCTTTTTTAGGAAGATAATGTGCCTCTCTGTTGCCTTTGTTGAACAAAAAGAAAAATGAACTAGTATTGATGCGTGGCTTGAGCCAGAGGAATTCAGTAGAGAGATACGGGAGCTATGTGAAGGTTGTTGCTGACATTTGGTCTGATTATTTTACCCCAAAGCTGCATGTAAGGTCATCAGCTAATACGAAAACAAATGAATTCTGAGACACCTTAAACTCTCGAGCCTTCTTTTTTTTATTTATTGTGCATGTTGCTTGCATGGTGCATTTAGGCCTTTATTCTTAATTATTCTTCTTTCCAAACCCTGAGTAATTCTTGAAAATCATAGGTTGTGAATGCTCGTTGTGTCTTGATGGAAACTTACTGATCCTGGTGGTGGCAGAGATGAGTGGAAAAACAGGACGTTGCAGGTGCTCTAAACCTGAAAGCAAAATTGGAAAAAAGAAAAGGATTTTTAAAAATAGCTTTATTTGGATGTACTCATGTTTCAGTGCAGAAAACCTGCCAGTTTTTCTCTCCATAGTTGTCTATTTATTTTTTTTTCTGGTCTGTCTGTTGTTGGTTAATGGACATTTTAGGGCTAGCTATACCGTACCGGTTTCATAGAAAACCAAAGTATTTGTCTTCACACTGTGTTGTTTTTAAACAAACCTGAATTCTGTTGCAATCTGCTCCATTCAACAGGAAGGAATTTGAAATAAAATTTGAGTCTGTTATAGCCATAGGGATAAATTTTCTAGGCTTAAGCTTATTTTTTTAATCGTTGTTAAAACTAACTAGAACATTCATTAATAGAGAAATCATCTGATTTTTAGGCTGAGTAACAGATTGCTTTATTGAATGAGTAGATGTGGAAATAAAATGTGTGCTATGGAACCTACGGTCTAGTTGTTCTCCACGGTATGGGTAATACAGTGATTTATGGACTTTCCTCTTTCTATAATGGCGTTGTAATCACTGTATAGAAAAGTAGGATAATGAAGAATCATAGAATGGGTTGGGTTGGAAGGGACCCCTAGAGGCCACCCAGCCCAACCCCCCTGCAGGGAGCAGGGACACCTTGAACCACATCAGGTTGCTCACAGCCCCGTCCAACCTGGCCTGGAATGTTCCCAGGGATGGCGCCTCCACCACCTCTCTAGGCAACCTGTTCCAGTGTAAAGAATTTCTTCCTTATATCTAGTCTAAACCTACCCTGTCTTAGTTTAAAGCCATCCCCCCTTGTCCTGTCCCAGCTGGCCCTACTAAAAAGCTTGTCCCCCCCTTTCCTCTGGGCCCCCTTGAAGCCCTGACCGGCCGCACTCAGCTCTGCCCGCAGCCTCCTCTTCTCCAGGCTGAACACCCCCAACTCTCCCAGCCTGGCCTCAGAGCAGAGGAACTGTTAAGGTGGTTTAGATAGCTTTAGGTATAACCTGTGGATAGAGAATTAGCATCACGTTATCACTTTCTGGGGATCTCCAGCAAGCCACTGTTTGGGGGACCATGCTGGTGAGCAAATCTCTCATACACTAATTTTGCACCAAACCTCGAGCTAGCCGGGTATGATAACTCTGCAGTGAACTCTGTCCTGTGTGTGAAAAACCATCAGTGGAGCCAAATGTGTTGGTCATCTTCAGACTTTGGTAAGAAGCGATTCTGCTTGGGGGATGCTGGTATTCCAGGGTAACTGGCCAGTATGTAATCTGCAAACCAGGATTATTTTGCCTCCCTAATATCTCTAAGCCTTCCTCCCAGCATCCTCGCTGACAATGCTTCGTAAACTGTTCTACTTACTACTAATCTCTCATTGCTCTTTTTCTCCCCCCCCCCCCCCCCATAGTTGGCACCAGAAAACACTCTGATGTCCTTCCAGAAGGCAGTGGAGCAGAAGATGTATGGAGTCCAAGCTGATGTCGTACTGAGGTAAGCCGGTATGCTAAATAAAACCGAAAGGAATTTCTTCCCCCTAGGGAGTGGAAGGTCATCGTGGAAGATGAAGTATGAACTGAGACGTTTGTGGTACAATTCTTCTTTCAAAAGTGAGTTCATTAACTATTGTGCAGGGACAACAACGTGACTGTCCAAACTCTCAAACGAGCACCTGACTCATGTGGTGGCTGAATCAGTTGTTTCCCTTAGCACTGACCAAGGAGAAAGGTAGTCTTTTGGGAGGAGGAGGAGAGCTGGAAAAGCTCCAAGAACTTTCTCTGTTGCCACTCATCAGCCATCCCAGAGGAGCACTCCAAGCATCCCACAACTTTAAACAATGCCCTTGATTGGCCCAGTTATCTGAGGCCCTCTCTAGGAGAGCCAAGTCTCTTTGTAAAAAGAGGACTCCAGTGACCTTCAGACCAAGAACTGAGCTATCAATACAGCTGGCAGCAGCTTTGGGAAGGGTTTGCAGCACAGTACCCATCACTGTCCTTATCCCTTTGAAAGATGCTGTTCGTGCCTGTGGCTGGATGGGTCCACTCCACCCAAGATGTCCCCAGGACATCCCTCCTGGGATGCTTCCATGTTCTTCTAGGCATGTACCAGCCATGGGACCACTCAGCTTCTGGGACATATGCTCAGACCTATTGCATGCCGCTCCTTACCCATTACACACCCCAAACTGGGTGGCCCTGGTTATAAAAGCCAACTTTTCTTCAAGGAGCAGTAGTGTAGTAGCACTGCGTGTTCCTCTCTCATTTTCTACCTCCTCCCACATCTCTTCTTCTAAAGCTCTGCTTTCTGTCTCTGAATTATTTTTTCAAGCCTGTGCCTGCTAAAACATTGTGGTTAGCCTTGGGTAGTGCTGAGTGACTCCGTAAGGGGAAGGATTAGACAGGAGAGAGCAAATGTTAAGTGCCCCATAGGATTTCTGTGCTGTGCTTGAGGCTTAGCAATATCTGACGATGCTCTGCTATGAGATGTTAAGACTTGAGCTCCTATCTCCCTTAAACACTCTGCACTCTTAATTCTGCAGTTGCTTATCATATTTTTGTGGTTTTGTTTTGGGTTTTTTTTTAACTGTATTTATTAAAACCCCTTCTGATTGCAGCAATGCGTGCTGCTGGGCATGGTATTGCTGTGTCAGCATGTTGCTTTGGGTTGGGGGGGAAGTAGTTGGCACAGTGCACGCTAGAAATAGCAAATAAAGATGCCAGTGACCTTTGTGATAAGGGACTTCTGCAGGCAATGGTAAAGCCGAGGCAGCGTTTGCTCCATCATCTAAAAATGTTTTTCATTTTCCCTCTCGCTCTGGGGGTGAGTGCCCTGGGTTGTCTCCTAATTCAAATGGGGTTTGTATTTTAACCTCACTTCCTTTCCAGACTTTATGTGAATCTCCTATTATGAAGATGGGCTCCTTGATCTGGAAAATGTTGTTATAATCAGGCTGGCTGTATGGGTTTTATCTTGATTTCTGAGTGTGGGCAACTGGCTCCCTGCCCTTGATAGAAACCATCACTGCCCTGTGTGGTGTTCCCACTGATCCAGTCACTGAAAATTGGGTTGGTAGAAGGTTTAAAGAGCTTTTTAGGTTTCCCAGAGCCATTGCTCTGTAATATCTAGGTGGCTTAAAAACCACAGGGCACGCATTTGGCTATTTAGTTTCAGCTGAGAGGCGGGTTTTCTTTCAGATGCATGAACTTAACAACTCATGTGAGCGTAGCTGTTTCCTGAAACCAGTTTTCAATAGGAAAAGGCAATTTCAGAGCAATTTTGATAGCTTGGAGCCTTTGCACCTTGCTGAAAGCCTGTGAACATTAAGTACTCATAGAGTCTGAGAGCCTTTGAAAATCTTACTCATCATTTGCTATTAAGGATTTGAGAACAGTTTGTGCGTACAGGGTATGGAAAACCTCTGACGTTATTGGGAGCTACAGACGTTGATGAAAGCTTTTGTTAGCGTGAGCATTCAGGGTGGGTGTTCTTGTCCAAACCACCCAGCTAGGAATTTTTGAGGGGGTAGTGGAGTGGTGAGGAGGGACGGATAGGGTTATGTCAGCATTTGGGTTACTGCAAATGTCTAGCAGGTATCTAAGAGACTTTTTCCTCTGGGTGCATCTCATTTCAACTGGACTTGGGGATGATGGGGCGGTGTTAAGCTGGTTGAGATCTTCACAATGATGTTGTTGTGAAGCCATGAGAGAGGCTGGAGTGGGAACAGGCATTTCTCTAGTGCTGTGTACATGGTTGTGCACCTCCACCTGTAATGGGGCCTCCAACTGTCTTGCAGCTATGATGGAGTGCCGTTTCTGATGCATGACAAGACACTCAGGAGAACAACAAACGTGGAGGAATTGTTTCCAGAGCGGGCCTACGAGCACTCCTCCATGTTCAACTGGACTGACCTGGAAAAGCTCAATGCTGGAGAGTGGTTCTTACAGGTGTGTACGACCATGGAGCGGGTGTCCTGGAGCCATGGCCATGGGATGAAAGCTCATGCATAAAGCCTCTTTGAGATGGAGAGGTGTAGATCCATCTCCTTAGTGGAGTGGTCTGAAGCACAGCTGGACCAAGAGTCCATGAACCACATTTAGTTCTGCCCTCTGCTAAACTTAGACTTGGCCTAAAAGGCATGTTGTCTTTCTGTACCTCTTCCACCACCTGGAAGAAAGGCCTTAATGCCTAGTTAACACCACAGAGAACTTCAAGACCCCTGGGAGGTGGAATGTGTTTCTAAAGAGAACAGAAAAGACAGCGTGTTATATGCTGTTCCTTCCTCTGTAATTTACATTTGGAGACAACTATCTTTACAAAGAAAAAGCAAGAAATTCACCCTTCGAAGTCCAGGGGAGGAAGAATTGCTGTGGGATGGTCTTGACCCATCCTTCAGCATGCATCCAGGTTGCGGGTGGGATTTCTTTTGGCCAAGCTGCTCTCTGGCCAGTGGCCGTAACCTTCTTGAAGAGCATTAGCTGTGGTCTGGGAGGAGGCCTGCAGCACTCTGGCACACTCATGCAAGCTCAAACGTGGCTTGCTGAGGCGTCGCTGCAGTGTTGCAAGCTCAAATACCGCTTTCACGTGCCTGCTTGGAGCACTCTGGGTGCTTGCTTAGTGGAAGCCTGAAACCACTGTAGCTTCACGGCCATCCTCATCTGAGCTGGTCTGGAGGTGTGATGAGGATGTCTGTGTATTACAGCTGCATGTGCTGCTGCACAGAAGCTTGGTTGGCCTTCAGATGTGGTTGTGGGACTGGGAATGCAGGGAAAACCGCTGCTTGCCAGATGAGAAGGGCCAAGACAGCAGCTGGAAGGCTGCTTTTTGGGATGTACTTTGAAGCAGAGTCATTCCTGAACGTCCTTAAGCCAGGAGCTCATCTATTCCAATAGCCCATAGCTCCTGTCTGATCACTCTTAGTTCTGTAATAGCTGGTCCTTTGTATTCTTGCATTCTGAAGAATCCTCGGTGATCATGTACATAGTGTGAGAAAGTACATTTTTAGCTTACTATGTTGGAAAAGTACATTACTGCCTTATATCTCAGCTGTCCCCCTGAAAATGGGGCAATCTGCCCAGCACACCTTGCTTGTAGTGACCTCCCTTTGGGTAAGGAAACTGAGGCACGGAGCTTCAGCAAGCTGCAAGGTGGTCATCGAGCGTGGCTGTCAGCTGTTGGCAAGGTGGGATAGAAAAGGATCCTCACCTGTATTGGAGGAGTCTGGGCTTTGTGGCACTAATGCTGGGATGTGCTTTGCTTTCAGAATGACCCTTTCTGGACGGCTGGATCTCTCTCAAGGTCTGACTACTTGGAAGCTGCCAACCAGTCAGTCTGCAAGCTGGCAGATATGCTAGAGGTGATCAAGGACAACACATCGCTCATCCTGAACTTCCAGGACCTGCCACCAGCTCATCCTTATTACAGCACTTACATCAACATCACCCTGGAAACCATCCTGGCATCGGGAATTCGGCAACAGTCTGTGAGTTCTGTGGGGCTGGTGATATTTCCAAAATTGCCCTCCTTACGTGTTCCCCAAATCCTTGAGTGTCTCACGTGATCCATTGGAACACTTGATTGGAAATGCCACTACACGCCAAGAAAGTCATGCTGGGGAGGATTGTGCCTCCAGGCTGGTGGTCCCAGAGGCTTGATAGCATCCTGGACTGTAGTCATAGCTAATAGGTGGAGGACAGTGATTATTCCCCTTACTCAGCAATCATGTGGGGCTCGGCAGTACAACACAGTTGTTGATAAACTGGGGCAAGTCCTGCAGAAGCCACCAAACTGGTCGGGGGACTTGAACATATGAGGAGGGGCTGAGGGAACTGAGTCTCTTCATCCTGGAAGAGGAAAGACTGTTGAGAGCTGCTGTTAGGTCTCCCCAGTACAGGTAAGGAGGTTGTTGAGAAGTTGGACCGAAGCTCTTCACTGAGCTGCATATCAGGAGGATGGGAGACAGTGGTCATAAATTGAAGCAGGAGAGGTTCCCACTGGGTATAAGGAAACAAGTTTTCCCTGTGAGGGCAGGCAAGTGTTAAGACAGCCCCGGAAAGGCTGAAGGATCTCCATCCTTGGAGCCTTTCAAGACCAACTAGACAAAGCCCCGAGCAACCTGGTCTGAAACCAGTCCTGGCTCTGGTTTATGCTGGAGTAGAGATCTCGTGAGGTCTCTTCCACATCTGGAATCCTGGGTACAGTTCTGGTCCCTGCCATACAAAAAAGCTGTGGAGAGGCTGGAGGGGGTCCAGAGCAGGGCCACCAAGATGATCCAAGGCCTGGGAAGCCTCTCTCAGCCATATGGGGATGGGCTGAGAGAGCTGGGTTTATTCAGCCTGGAGCAAAGGAGGCTCAGAGGGGATCTCATCACCATGTACTGGTACCTAAGGGGTGGCTACAAAGAAGTTGGACACTCCCTTTTCACAAGGAGTCACATGGAAAAGACGAGGAGTAATGTGTACAAGTTGCTCTTGGGGAGATTCCCATTGGACATGAGAGGGAAATTTTTCACAGTGAGAAGAGTCACCCATTGGAATAATCTCCCCAGGGGAGGGGTTGACTCCGCCACATTGGACACTGTCAAGCCTCAGCTGCACAGGGTGCTGGCCCATCTTGTCTGGACTGTGTTCTTGCCTGGAATGGTTGGAGCAGATGATCCTTGAGGTCCCTTCCAACCTGGGATTCTGTGATTCCCACCAAGTGATTCATGGGCACGACAGAAGAGGCTGAGACCTGGAGGCCAGCTGCTAGTGGCAGGGAGCCCTTCCTCTCCCTCCGACTCCTTGGTTTTAAATAATTGTGGTGGGTTGAGCCAGGGTCCCACCAAAGACGCTCTGTCACTCCCCCTCCTCAGCAGGACAGGAGAGAGAAAATATAACAAAAGGCTCATGGATTGACATAAGGACAGGGAGAGATCCTTTGGCAATTACTGTCACAGGCAAAACAGACTCAGCTTGAGGACCATGGACCTCCATGGGCTGCAGGGGGACAACCTGCCTCACCGTGATCTTCACCTGGAGCACCTCCTTGCCCTTCTTCACTGACCTGGGTGTCTGCAGGGTTGTTCCTCTCACACATTCTCACTCCTCTCACTGGCTGCAATTGCTGTTGTGCAGGTTTTTGTTCCCCCTTCTTAACTGTGTTATCCCAGAGGTGCTACCACCATTGCTGATGGGCCGGGCCTTGGCCAGCGGCAGGTTCACTGGCTTGGCCTTGGCCAGCAGCAGACACAGGGAAAACTTCTAGCAGCTTTTCACAGAAGCCACCCCTGCAGACCCCCAGTACCAAAACCTTGCTACACAAACCCAATACAATAATGCTTCTCCCTGGGCTGAACAACTGTTTCAGCTGAGAGTCAGCTTCTGCTTGGACAATAAATGGGTGGCCTGGAACTGAGAGGTTTTCAGCAAAAGGATCTGCAGAGATCTCTTCCAGACTTTCATTTCTGCCCCAGAATTGCCCTTGCTGGGTTATGCCAATGTTTTAATTTCCAGCTCTGAGCGGTTGCAAGCAGAGCCCAGCCAGCCTCGTTAGCTGTGTCCTCCCTGACCACAAGGTATAGAGATTCACCCAGCCCATCAGGAGCTGCCTCTGATGCAGTGATCTCTTCTGGAAGGAGAGCACCACTTCCCACATGTCAGAAGGGCACCCAGACCCGGGCACTCTGGGTGTCCCTTGGAAAACTTCTCTTCTTCACCTGCCTGGGGGAAGGGAATCTGGTCCTTTCACTTCTCCTGTGCCCTCCCTTGAATATGGACCGGTTGAAAATAGTGTGGTGAGGCTGGCAAGTGGAATGACTGTGCCACGTGCAGCTCAGCTATCTCATCTGTACCAGTTTGGTGCACCTGCATGCCCAGACAAGTTCAGCACTGATGGGACCAGGAGGGGACAGAGCTATTTTTAACTTCTATCTGCCTTTCTAATGACTGACACTGCCACCCAATTTCCAAGGGGCGGCTGGGGAAGCATTCTCCAAAAGCCTCTGCCAGCTTGGCTAGATCCAAAGGAGGTCCATGCTATCTTCTCTTTGGATAATGGAAATGGAGAGCAGGAGAAAAATAGACAAAATGTAGGTATGGGGCTGTAAAGTGGTATTTCTCAGCTGGGTTTTTATGGTTCCCTATTGAAAATACGTATGGCTGCATCTGTGCTGCTCTGATGCTTTGGTAGATGGGTGTCACTGAGTTATTAAGCATGGATTAAAGCAATGCTAGAGAGCTGGGCAGAGAGGAACCTGATGAAGTTCAACAAGGGCAAGTGTCGAGTGCTACACCTGGGGAGGTCGAACCCCAGGCACCAGTACAGGCTGGGGGCTGACCTGCTGGAAAGCAGCTCTGCTGAGAGGGACCTGGGGGTCCTGGTGGATGACAAGCTGACCATGAGCCAGCAGGGTGCCCTTGGCACCAAGAAGAGTCCAGAGGAGGGCAACAAGGATGATGGGGGGACTGGAGCATCTCCCCTAGGAGGAAAGGCTGAGGGAGCTGGGCTTGTTCAGCCTGGAGAAGACAAGGCTGAGAGGGGATCTCATCAACACGTACAAATATCTCAAGGGTCGGGGTCACGACGTCGGAGCCAGACTCTTCCCAGTGGTGCCCAGCACCAGGACAAGGGGCTATGGGCACAACCTGAAGCAGAAGAGGTTCCAGGTGAACGGGAGGAAGAACTTGTTGACTGTGAGGGTGCCCGAGCCCTGGCCCAGGCTGCCCAGGGGGGCTGTGGAGTCTCCTTCTCTGGAGATCTTCAACCCCCGCCTGGATGCTGTCCTGTGCCCCCTGCTGTGGGTGAGCCTGCTTGAGCAGGGGGGTGGGACTGGGTGAGCTCCTGAAGTCCCTTCCAACCCTTGCCATTCTGTTATTCTATAATGCAATGCCCAGTGGTACTGCTGGGTTGGGCCCAGCCTCTGCATGGCACAAGCCATAAAACTGCCCTGCTTGCTTCCTGCTTCCACTTTGCCTCTGGCAGCTGAGCATGTTAACAGTAATTAATTTGACATGCTTTTAAAGCGTGGTATGAATTGGGAAAGCCCTGCTCTGGGTTGGACTAGATGTAGTCCTGATAAACGAGGGTGATCAAAACTAGTTTTAGCCATGGGATCATGGGAGGCTTCTGCTGTGCATCCTTGTCTGCACTGTCCTTAGTTCTCTCTGTGCCCTGAACTGGGCAGGGAGGACAGGTTTTCAAGGATACACCATGGTTCTTCTCATGAGCCCTTGGCCCGATCCTTTTATATCTCAACACCGTTCACCAGATTTTGTGTGTTACAGCCCTCTGGGCTTGCAGACAATTCTGAAATGCATTTGAATAGAGACGTGGGAGGCTGCCAGTGTCTTCTAGACAATTTGTATAACAAACGAGGCAGTCTCTCATGTGATTTTGCTTCTGGCTTGGTGTAAACTGGCTGCCTTGTGTCACCAGCTTTGTGAACAGTCACTGCCATAGCTGTCCTCTGTCTCGCTTCCTCTGCAGGTGATGTGGCTGCCGGACATGGAGAGGCAGCTGGTCAAACAGATTGCGCCAGGTTTCCAGCAGACTTCTGGCCTCAAGCTGGACGCAGAGCGCATGAGGGAGAAGGGCATTGTGAAGCTCAACCTGCGTTACACCAAGGTCACGAACGAGGATGTCAGGTACAACCTTCTGTTTGGACGCTGCGCGATAGCCCATGTGCTCCATGGCAGGTGCCCGCAGCTCGTGGGCATCCTCGCTAACCTCACGCCCTGTGGGCATCCCTGGCTTCGGAGCATCTTTTCTGATCATCCCAGGCTGTCTTATCCGCACAGAGTTACCTTTTCAGATGGACTTGCTCTTGAAAGCTTGGCTGTGCAAGCTTGTCCCTACCCATCACCCAGAATCCAGGCTGATCCCAGCAGTGCACCGCTGACTCAAATAACTCTACATGCTAATTCGGTATACGATGATCCTTTCTGAAATACAAATATATGAATTGCTGATTCTTATTGTGCTGTTGGCTCTGGAAAAAAGTGATAGCTTTTCACACCGAGGGTTTCCAAATGCTGTTTCATCCTCATTAGCAGCTGCCCTTTGCTTCTGTTAGGCTGGCTCCAGAGTTGCTACCACAGAATTTTGATTAGTCGAAAGTCTGGATATGCTTTCAGAAATCTCTCTTTGCAGAGAATTCACCCGATTCATTATTGTCCTTTGTCAGCTATTTAGACTGGCCAGGTCTCCTCTTTAATGAGGTTGTCAGCGTGAGGTTCCTCTCCTTCTGCTTAAGCCCATATTTGAACCATGCAGCGCGTTAGCTCCCAGCTTTGCCCTCTTCTTGGAGAGGGCAGATTGTCTCTAGTAGAGCTTTTCTATTTTTTGGAGTTTAATTTTTTTCCCCAAAGAAATACTTCAAAATGAAACAGAGTTTGCAGAAGAAAAATATCTTCAAAGGAGCTGTCTTACTGTGTGTTTGGGCTGGAAGTAGAGAAGAGCTGAGCCCGCAGCTGTTTGAGAGCACGGTCCTATTTTAGTATAATCCAGTGGTGTCTTTCTGTGGCTGCTAGCAATCGGTCTAGTTGCTCGCCCTTAAAACCAAGTCTGTGATTTACCTTCAGGATAATTCCTGCCTGTTTTTCCCCTCCCTATTTGCTCTATCTCATGGAGAAGACCACATGCCAACTCTCTCATCTATCCCAGCTCATCAGCCCCAATTTCTCATCAATCCCACCTCCGCTGTCTCCAAAATCAGACCTGCCACCTGAGTCTTTTTTGAACCCTGAAGGCTTTGTGGTGCCCAGTCAAATCTTGCCAGAGCAGGCTCAGCAAGCCCTGCTATAACTCAGTTTCCTCAGTCCCCCCCAAAAATCAGCATCTGGATGTAACATTGCTGCGACCACCTCTGCCCTTGAGAATCACGTAGCCTTTGGAGCAACCTGATCATGTTGTGAGCTTTGAGATGTCCACATCTTGTACAGTGTCCTTCCACTTCAAAGGGCTTTGATATTGAGTTGCAAGGATTAATCTCTGTGCTGCCCATGCAAGGGAGATTAGTGATGCTTCTGCTTTGTAGATAAGGAAACAGAGCAATTTATGCAAATTGTATGGGTAAAAGGAGTCTATTACCAGTGCTTGGTTTGCTGCTGACAGCTCCTGTACCCCAGCTTGCAGTTTTAGCTTCTTGGAAAATGACTGGAAGCTCTGTGACTGTCCCCAAAGCAAGGGCATGGAGTTGTAGGAATTGATGTTGGAAATGCAGCCTGTCAGTTTTTAATTAAGTAAATTGCCTATGGATTGTTACAGGCATCTGAGCCAGATGTTAAGTTTACATCAGCATGATGAGGCGGTTGTTAGAAAAACATGACGTGCCCATCATTTGTGGGGAAGTATCTGAGATAGGCTGTGGTCTGGGTGAGATACCATCCAAGAGGCGACGAAAGCTTTCAAGTTTAAACCATTTGATTGTAGTGCCCTTGGGTTGCTTATGAAGTGACCGTGCTCTGTTAAAAAACCCTACTTTATGCAGTTCAGATCTAGCTGTGATTACAGTGGTGGCTGATGGCAAGAGCTCTCCTCTTGGAGATGAGGGTCTGATGTTTGCTGGGGCACTCGCATCTCACCCTGTCTGTCTCCTGGCAGGGACTACACCATGGCGAACCTGAGCGTGAATCTCTACACTGTGAACGAACCCTGGCTATACTCCATCCTGTGGTGTGCTGGCGTCCAGTCGGTCACCTCCGACAGCTCCCATGTCCTTCGCAAGGTGCCTTTTCCCATCTGGCTAATGGTAAGCACGATGCCTGGGCAGCTGTGAACCCCTGAAAGGAGGGGATGCAGTGGAGGGGTGTAGAGGTGGCTGTTGACCACTGCAGCCATATGTCTAGTGGGTTTCTCCAGGAAGGTTTGGTTGGGTTCAACATTCTGTTGGGCTTGAGGGTTTTCACTCTGTGTGCCTGAGTCCTAGGATGGTAACGGATCAATGCTCCTCTTTCACAATCCCTTCCTTCAGAAGGCCTTGTTTCTCCCCATACAGGGATTGGGAGCCTTGGAGACTGTTTTGCATGCCCCATTTAATCCATGGGATTTTTCTGTTTTCCTTCAACAGAAAAACACCATTCCAGACCTGCTGAGCAGCTCTTAAAGTTGCAGGAGAAGCAGGCACACAGGCGAGACAGTGAACCTGGCTTCTGTGTTTCAGGCAGGCTTCCAAACTAACTTTTTGTCTATTCTTAATATCAAATAAGGACAAGAGTTGCCTCCAGTTATGCCATTGCTGGACAAGGAACAACCAGTGACCAAAAGGTAGCCCCCTTACCCATCATGTTAGCCAGTAAACTCTTTGAAAACTCTGGTAGCACTTTGTGTCTCTGAACCAAACAGAAATATTCACATGGGAGGGAAAATGATTAAATAGTTCCATCAAAGTATTCCCAAAATAAGAGCTCAGCTGCAGAGGTGTAAGTGCGTGCGATGGAGGGGCTAGTTTATGACGACAGATCTTGTCAGGGGTAGGGCAGGAGGCAGCTGTTTTACCTGCCGCTTTGGCAGAGCTGCTTGGGAAAGGGGAGAATAAGACAAGCACAAGGAGAATTTCACGTTAATGAGTTACCTGCATCTTTAGCTGGAGGTAGGACCACAAGACTACTGCCCAGGTGGATGAACATCTATGCATGATGTTCTTAATCTTAGCTTAACCTACTGTTGTGTTTGACGGCACAAATTCACACTGGTGTGCACTGAAGCTGGAGAGTTGAAAATGAATCATAGAATACCTGATTGGAAGGGACCTCAAGGATCATCTGCTCCAACCTTTCTAGGCAAGAGACCAGCCCAGACAAGATGGCCCAGCACCCTGTTCTGCTGAGTCCTGAAAGTGTCCAATGTGGTGGAGTCAACCCCTCCCCTGGGGAGATTATTCCAATGGGGGACTCTTCCCATGGGGAATAATTTCCCTCTCGTGTCCAATCGGAATCTTCTCAGGATCAACTTGTAGCCATTGACCCTCATCTTTTCCACGGGACTCCTTGTGAAAAGGGAGTGTCCAACTTCTTTGTAGCCACCCCTTAGGTACTGGTATGTGGTGATGAGATCCTCTCTGAGCCTCCTTTGCTCCAGGCTGAACAAACCCAGCTCTCTCAGCCCATCCTCATATGTCAGGCTTCCCCTTTATAAAAATGGTTTTATAAAGGCCCAGCCTGTTGGCAGAAGAGATTACCATCGTCTGAATTGTGCTGCTACAAACATCTGTCCTCCACTACAGCTGGCAGGAGTTGTGTGCACATCGCTGGCAGCATTTTACTCCAAAAGCTCCTCTGCCAGCAACAAAAAGCAGCTGATACTTGGACCCCTCCTCCAAGGGCTTTTCCATTGCTGGGTTTCCAGCTCTGCTATGAGTGCACACTCTTACATCACCAGTAGCATAAAAATCCCTTGATTTCTTGCATATTAAAGTGCCTGGGTGATGTAATGTAACCAGCTTTGCCATCTGAGGCTCCTCCACCATGTGGAGAATCATAGAACCCTAGGTTGGAAGAAATGGTTGTTTCTGCCAGGCTTTGGCTGCCCAGTGCCCTTGGGGGCTTCCTTGGGCTTTATTGCCAGCTGAGCAGAGCAGGAGCCATCTGCAATTGCAAAAATACATTTCACTTGGTGTGTTTTGGTTAAATAAAAGGAAAAACAAAGAAGAAAAAGTGACAGTCTCTCTCCTCTCTACTCTTGATGGAGAGCTGCTGGTAAGAACAGAGGCCATCAGACATGGCAGAGAAGAGCTTTAAAAAGCTTGAGCTGGGGTTCAGCCCCTAACTTGATGTCATTAAAGTGCCCAGCATGAGACCCTTCTCTGTAACTTTGGGAGTCTCCTTCAGAGCCAGGGTTTGAGTTGCTCTCTGCCCAGCTACACTGAACTGATGAAAGGCTTGGATGGGCTGCAAACGTGAGGATTTCAGGAGTCAGACTTATTTTGGGTAAAGTTTATTTAAAAAGCCCCAGAATAATCCCACTGAAACAGCCCTATTTAAAAAAAAGACAGGGAACTGGAGATGAAATATAGCAAACTCCCAAGCAGGTCTGGGTGTGGATGGAAGAGGACAAGTTGTCTCCACAGTAGATGTTTGCTGACCTGTGCTCCCTCCTCTGCAGGGCTGAGGAGGCATCTGCTCGCTGGGCACTCCAAATAACGATGTGCATGGGGTGCATGTCTTTGAAAAATTCCAGTTTTCCCCTTTTGATCACCTTGAAATTCCATTTTTTTGTCACTTATAAAACCTTTGGTACCAAAAAATTCTAGCTTTGAGCTTTCTGCAAGACTTTAAAAATATATATATGTATGTCGTGGTTTAACTCAGCTGGCAACTCAGCACCACGCAGCCGCTCGCTCACTCCCGCCTCCCTCAGTGGGATGGGGGAGAGAATCAGAAAAAAAAAAGTAAGACCCGTGGGTTGAGATAGAGACAGTTTAATAAGAGAGAAGAATAACAATAGTAGTAGTAATAATGGTAAGAGAATATACAGAATATCTAAAACAAGTGATGCACAATGCAATTGCTCACCACCCGCTGACCGATGCCCAGCCCATCCCGAGCAGCAATCACTCCCCCTGAGCCGCAATCACTCTGCCCGAGCTGCGATCACTCTGCCTGTGACCGATCAATTAATCCCCCCGAGCATGACGTTCTATGGTCTGGAATAGCTCTTTGGTCAGTTTGGGTTAGCTGTGCTAGCTGTGCTGTACTCCCAGCTTGTTATGCCCCTGGCCGACCAGGAGAAGCTCAAAAAGTCCTTGAGTCCTTGAGCGCTACTTGGCAACAACTAAAAACATCAGTGTGTTATCAACATTCTTGTAGTACTAAATCCAAAACACAGAACTATGCCAGCTACTATGAAGAAAAATTAACTCTATCCCAGCTGAAACCAGGACAATGTAATACCTATAATCGGGTGCTGGAGTTTTCCCAGGAAGCTGTGTTTATGTCTACCTATTGCTTGGGGTATATCATAGGAAATGCAACTTTTGCCCCCTGGGAAAACCTGCTATTTGGGTTCTTCAGTTGTGCAACATCAACAGTTGCATAAATGAAACATTTAGGTGTGTAGATTTTGTTCTAACTTAGAAGACTCTTGGGGTTTTGTTCAAGATAGTTATGATGGCACTGTCCTGCCAAGAGAAGGGGAAACATCAATTTTGCATCTGTTGGTCTGAAGAGATGCAGCAAACGTAACATTAAATGTCACCCTTCTGTAATTAAGCTGGAAAATACAAGGATTAAATCTCCATCAGAAGGACTGGCTAATTAAAGTGTTGCTTAATTCTGTGGTATGCTTTCACAGGGTAAATCGAGACACACAAAGATTTACTGAGCAGAAAAACAAGTCATCCTCTGCTGGGAGACAGAGGTAGCAGATTTGATGGCTCCCAACTGGATTTATCCATGTCATGCTACTGTTGCATGAACTCATCTTTATGCATTACATATGCTATTTCTCTAATGAATATTACCTGTGTGCATTACAGAATCACAGAATGGCAAGGGTTGGAAGCCACCTCAGGACATCATCTAGTCCAGCCCTCCTGCTAAAGCAGGGTCACCTAGAGCATGTGGCATTAATGGTGGTGGTGGCTGTGATGGATCGGTCTGGTATGGAATCAGCAACCTTTTCCTGGTTGGGACTAGTCCAGGTTTGGGATAGGAGATATTCATTAGCATCACTGGTGGCTGACCTGGGTAGGCACCCTCTGAGCATCATAGGAGTTGATTATTATCACTTCACCTTCTTGTCTTTACTTGTGCTGCTCTTTCCTGAGTAGCACAAAAATCAGCGTGAAATAGCATGCTTCCGTGCTGGGTTTGTTGTCCCAAACAGAATTTTGGATAACAGGTTCAGATGATGGCTTTAGCTGGTGCGATGACCGCAGCCGCCTCGACTGGCAAATGAAGCCAGTGCCTTAAAGGACAGAAACTGAGAAGTAATGCTTATAGCGTGGGGACTGTGCAGAACAGGTAACATCAGCACTCAGAATGGACCCCGCACGTCTCGTGCAATGTGTATATATTTCTTTGTTTTCCTACAGCCTTGGATTTCCAAACAGCATCTCACCCTCACCTCGAGGTACAACTGAGATGGGAAACCCTCAGCCCACAAAGCTCTGAGAAAATGTCAGCGCACGAAAGGAGGGAGAGTTTAAAATTATTCCCATTCACAGCGTTTCCCGATAACGTCACTTTGGATGACAGGCCAGCATTAGAAATGCCATAAACATTGTGATTTGTACGCGACCCCTGCAGCTCTGTGCTTTTCCTTCTGCCCTGGTGGTAACTTCAGCGATGTGTGGTCTCCCTGTGACTGTACAAACCAGAAGGACTAAGGTCTGCTTCTGTTTTTTGTCTTCCAGCCTCCAGACGAGTACCACCTAATCTGGATCACGTCTGATCTCATTTCATTTATCATAATTGTAGGAGTTTTTATATTCCAGAAGTAAGTAGCCTTGTTACAGCTTGACTCTCGTGTATTTGTGGCGTGTGGTTTTGTCCGGAGCTTGGGGTGGAGATGGGAGAGAGGAGCACCGTGCTCCTGAGGCACTTGGATTGCAATAGCAGGGAAACTCTTTATGAAAAAAATCCCTACAAAGTCTGCAAACAATAATTCCACTCCTGAGATGTGACGTTGAATTGGATGGAGTAGCTGCTTTTTAAGAAGAATGAGAGATCTCAAAATAGCAGCAATAGATGCCTTGCTCGGCTCATAAATGCGTGTGGGAGAGAAACTGCAAATGCTTTAGGGAAATGGATGTTGAGGAAGAGAGTAAAGTGCTTTAAAGGAAGAAGAGATGTTTTGAGATTCCATCATTATAGTCTTCAAAAAGAACATGCTTTATTTTCCTAAAATCGATTTCTTCCAGTTTGGATGAAGGAATAGAAATACTATGATTTAGCAAATCAAATCAGTTGCTTAGTTTGATGCACAGAGAAAGTCTCTTCACTTTCCAACGAAGAGGAAGAACAAAGATTTGATGAGGGACATGGCAGAAGCCTCTCTGTTAGCCAGAGTCCCTGAAAACAAGTGAGGTGCCTAAAACCTAGGAGCAGAGCAAGTTAAGACACTGATAAATCAGGAGGAGGTAAATCAACTTCTTAACGGCAGAGTTGGCCAAGCTACCCTCCTCTTGATTATACCAGAGGAAACCACGGTGTCCTCCTGGTGATGCGCCTTTTCTCCTAGGAGGCATTTTAGCTGTCAGTGGTGACAGTGTAATAACCCTCTCTGGGAAAAAAACCGTGAGCTCGGAGAGAGATGCGCTCCCTGCAGCGAGAAGCAGTAACCTTCTCCTGGGAAAATGTGTCATTTTGAAATTGCAGCCCTTCTTCCCCGGGCTCTGTAACCTCATCTGCTTTGGCATGCACAAACGACTGTCCTGGAGACATCAAGGGACCTACGCTTTCCTTCCTTCCTTGATATCCAAAATGCCTTCGCGTTAGGAGCAGCAGTTTAATTTGCTTCAGCCTCATAAGCCGGTGATTTTGCTGTCGCGTTGTGCCAGATCGTCTGCTTGCAGCCATCTCTTTCCTTCCCCTGGGTGCGTAATTACCTGGGGGGTTTTGCCACGTTACAGTGTGCTATTGCTCCTGCCAGCACCCTCTATGGATTTGACTTCAGGCCACGTGTTGGGTCTGGTTATAATTGTCGTGGTTTAACCCAGGGGGGCAGCTGAACACCCCCCAGCCGCTTGCTCGCTGCCCCACTCCCTCAGTGGGATGGGGGAGAGAATCAGGGGAAAAAAAAAAAAAAGGTTAAAACCTGTGGGCTGAGATAAAGACAGTTTAATAAAGCAGCAGAGGAAAGGAATAATAATAATAATAATAATAATAATAATGGTAGACTATATAGAATATACAAGACAAGTGATGCACGATGCAATTGCTCACCACCCCCTGACCGATGCCCAGTCCGTCCCGAGCAGCGATCCCAGTCGCCGGGGCCAACTCCCCCGAGCATGATGCCGTATGGTCTGGAATAGCCCTTGGGTCATTTGGGGTCAGCTGCCCTGGCTGTGCCCCCTCCCAGCTTCTTGTGCCCCTGGCAGAGCAGGGGAAGCTGAAAAGTCCTTGACTGGTCTAGGCACTACTCAGCAACAACTAGCCCATCAGGGGGTTATCAACATTCTTCTCCTACTAAATCCAAAACACAGCACTATGCCAGCTACTAGGAAGAAAATTAACCCTATCCCCATCACAGCCAGGACAATAATTGTGTCTAAATTCACAACTTGCACAGTCCCATGCTGGTAGACTTGTGCCCAGCGGGTCCCCAATTCCAACATGGGATAATTGAGCGAGCAGCAGATTCAAAACTCTCCTCTCAAATTAGATTTCTCAACAATTAATGAAACCCCTGACCAAGATGAGATTAATATTTTTCTGTGAGGTCTTGTGATCTGAATTGTGGCAGATTAAACCTTTCCTCCTGAAGGGTGTCGTGGCTGTCTTGTCTGGAAGCTTCCTCCACTCCCTCAAATTCGTCACTTGGTTTAATAAGAGCTGTCCCTGCTCCTTAGACCTGGTATGTCTCTGCCAGGTACAGAAATGCACGAGGAGTCTGGAGGCAGGGACTGACCTCTCTGAAGAGCAGAATTTGAAGGTCAAGTGGATGAGATAGTTGCAGGCTTTTGCATCATCTCCCAAAGTCAGTTGTGGGGTTTTTTTCCTGAATCAGACCCAGGAGACCACAGCTGAAGAAATTAAACGGATTCAACCTGCTGAATAGGAACTAGAAGACCCAGAGCAGAGTGAAATGAGAATGTGAATGAGAGGAGAAGTCACAGATACATGGACTTTGCAATAGCAGGACTCTTCCTCTCTGCACAGACTGAATTTCTTCCGGTTTGGAAGAGGTTTGCTGGAGTAGGGGAAGAGGAAGCAGGGTAAGGAAGGAAGGCGTTGTTGCAGGATTTCTCTTCTGCTGTCAGTGTGAGTGTGATACAGGCGAGAAGAGCTGGAAACTGCCACCAAGCTTTCCCCAGGGTCCATCAGCCTGGAGCACTGAGCTCCAGGCCCAGCTTCTGGACCCGATGTAGAAAGGCAGATGCTCAGAGACGTCTGGCCATGTGGGGTCTATCGTAGCAGGGCCAAATGTCTTTTGGATCTCTCCCTTGGGATAACTCAACCCCAAGTCAGTAGAGGGAAGAAGGAGAAACTCTAGCACCAGAAGTTGGACTTTCTGCAGCAAAGGGCTTGTTCTTCCAAGAGCCGTGTGCAGGAGAGACCCATTTCCCTGCCATTCCAGTTTCTCTACCACATGAAAGAATTGGTAGCAGTGTTGAGGATATATCAAAAACAAATCGTAGCGGAATTGCCCAACTACCACCTGCTGATGTGATTCAGCTCTGGGAAATGAGGCTTGGCATTTGGCCTTCAGTGTCATGGTTGGTTTTCTGTTTTGTTTTGTTTTGTTTTTTTTTTCCCTAAGTCCTTTTGGGGGCAAAACAGAGCTGCTTCCTTCATGCAAGGATGAGGGGGCGGGTGGGAACAGAGCCACCGCTTCGATGTGCTCGTCCTCTCTCCTACGCATGGCTTGTCTCTCTTCCGTAGCCGTGGGTAGGGATTGCTCCTGCTGTTCTGCTTCAGCCCTGGTGACAGGATCGTGGCAGCCTCTCCGGAGGGGAAATACCGACTGTGATGACTTCTAACCAATCTTTTTTTGCCTCTTTGCCTTGTTTATTTTCTTACTGCTCTGACTGTTGTGCATGTTCCTCCTCTTTCTCTCTCTGCTGCATTCTGGCATCTCACAGCTATCACATGATCAGGTAATTCTGGTGCTTTCCTCCTCTTTCTCTTTTTCATTCAACCTTCCTTTCTCTCTTTCTTTCTCCCTCTCTGCTATGGCTTCACTGCAGATGGACAGGGCAGGACGCGGTTTTTCACGATGCTTTCAAACATCTGGCTTCTTGGGGGGACCATCAGGGTCTGAACATTGCATAGTCCATAGCCATGAGCACCACAGGAGCCTGATGCTGAAGCCAGCGGATGTTTTGAAGGCAATCTGACCTTCTGTCATGATGATCCAAGTCGCTGCCTTTTAAAACTGCCCTATTCTGAGGCCCCACAGTGTGTTGTAATTGGGAAAGTCCCAGTGGATGTAATGCTTTCTCCATGGAAATAATCCCATGCAAAATATCTGCTTCCTTCCTGCATTTACCAGAGGTTTTTGAGACCAACCTCTTCTAAATTGGCCCATTCTAAAGAAAGTAATGTAACCTGTTCAATTATATACAGTACTGCTTCTCCAGCCCTGGGAATGAATTAATAAGGCTAATAGCTGGAAAGGTTTGGCTCATCGATTGCTGCACTCGGAGCTTGGGATTTTTCAGGAGTCTCTTCCCAGTTACACCACTGTAAAACTGGAAACACAGTGTGAAAATAAATAGCATGGCGCCCAGGAAGGGAAATGAGCCTGGGATGCTGGATTTGAAGTGTCATCAATTGGAAACCCAGACTCCTCCTTGTTTTGGCTGTTGTCTCACCAGTCGTTCTCATCCCCTTGGAGGGAAGCGCTGTCGCTTTTCTGCAGTAAAGCCTTCACCTTGTCTGTACTTGGGCCAAATTTTTCATGTGTTACCTTCTCCATTCCTTCTGCTGTGTTCCATGGGGTTGTATTTCTGAGGACTTGGCTACTCCCTATCTGTGCTTATCTGCCCCTCTCCCCACCCACCGCCTCGGGGGTCAGGGTTGGCCCTCTGCAAGTATTGCCTGCTCCACAAGGTACCTTGGACTTGCGGCGTTACGTCCTTGCGGCTTCTCCCCAAAACCGGCCCCTGGCTATGAGGCCAGGCTGAACCCTTCTTTGGGTGCAGGGAGGTTGGGTGTTTTCCCTTTCTTGCCTCCCCCTTGCTCGTGGGTAAGGAGAAGACAGGCATGGAGGAGTTAGGCAGGCTTTAGGCAAGAGTGGTCGCAGGATGGGGACTCTGTGGTTGCAGCTGGCTTGGCTCTTTGCTCGCTCCATCTGATCACCTCGGTACCACTCAACCCCATTTTCTCCCAGACCTGCCCCCCTCCCATCCCCTTTCCCTGACATTTAGCATCTCCCCTCCCAGCCAAGGGTCCTGTCGTGGCCCTAACATGGTGTATGCTATCTCTGTGTTGTTGTCCCAGTATTTTTTAGTCTGTTCCCACCCCGTGTCCGTCTGGTCCGCTTTGATGCCAACCTCCCAGAACAAGACCTACCTGCTGTCTGTCTGGCCTTTTTGCACGCTGCTGTCCTAAACGTGGCCGATCACAACAGAGTCCAAGGGGGTAGGAGAGGTGCTATTTTCTATTAAATGAGCTTTTATGGAGACCCAAAGGCTACTGAACACAGCAGAGAGTATTTTGTATGGTGTTGGAGTTGCATTGTCATTAAATGGACTGGTGGCTCTTCTAAGAGGGTATTTCAAAGTACTCCTGAAAAAAGGGATCACCCTTTCTTAGCTTGTTCAACCAGAGCAATGCACCCCTGCGAGAGGAGTCATCTGCCGCTTGTGCATATTTAACCACTCTGGGTCTGACCACAGCCACCATGCGGGATGGGGAGCAGGGAGCAGAGGTCATTCCTCTTGGCAAGAGGAGAGGAGCCCTTGGTCCCTGCACCCCTTTGAGGCTGGGCTGTCTGTGCCTCAAAATAGCCCGTGCCCTCCATGGGATGTCTAGGACCTACGGGCAAGAGATCATCATGCCTTTTGGCCACACAACCCAGCCTGATGTGGAAAATCCTGATGTTGTGGGCAAGGAAAAGACTCACCGTTGTAGCACTATGTTGTAGTTCTGATTATAGTTTAAGGAGGGTCTTGCCCTGTGAGATCTGATGCACTTGCAACCACGTTGACCTCAGTGGGATCTGCCTGCATGGGACACTAAGGGCAAAAATGGTGGTCTTCCAGGTCAGAGTGGCTCAGCTTAGATGATGATGATAGAAGAAAAATACATTTCTATTTTAAATTTTCTTTATACTTTAATGTCTTTGCCTCCTTGTGCTTCCTGTGTGTTGCTCTGTCCATGGGTCTGTGAGTTGTGTTGTGTTGTCATCCCACCCCTTCTTTTCTCTGTAGCAGACCATCCGCCTTCATCCGTACCCTGGTCAAAGCCTGATGGTGTGGTGTCACCCACTGGGATTTGGGAGGGGATGGAAACCCCATGAAGTCAACACTAAGCTAGATTTTCCTGGAAAAATTGCAGAACCTCTTTTGTGGCTGTTGCTTTGTCAGGCTGATGCTGTGGTCCTGGCTGGAGATGTGTGGGGCTCCTCAAATCCTCTGCTCCTGGGGCTGGGTAGGGTGTTAGGAATTTAAGAGAAGGTGATTATCACCTTCACAAAAATGAAAATGAAATAAAATAAAAAATCACTTTCTCTTGTGTGGGTGGGCCACTAGATGGTGCCAGAACTCTACAACTCTCTCTACAACTGCCTGAGAGGAGGTTGTAGTGAGGTGGGTTTTGGTCTCTGCTCCCAGGGAAGGGGCAATAGGACGAGGGGCACCGGCCTCAAGTTGTGCCAGGGCAGGGTGAGGTTGGGCATGGGGAACAATTCCTTCCCCTTGGGGATGTCAGGCACTGGAAGGGGCTGCCCAGGGAAGGGGTCGAGTCCCCAGCCCGGGGGGGATTTAACAGCCGGGCAGAGGCGGTGCTGAGGGCCAGGGTTTGGGGGTGGGATGGCAGGGTTAGGGGGACAGTTGGGCTTGATGATCTTAAAGGGCTTTTCCAACCTAAATGTTTCTATGATTCTATGAAGATCAGAAACCCCATAAGCCACCCTAAATCCCTGCTGTTTCTCCATCAAAGAGCTTTATAGCATTCCTGGCTCCAGCAGGGAGAATGGGATTTATTTGAAAGCTTTTTTCTGTGGTCAGGAGGTAGGACGAATTGGTGGGGTGTGGCCTATGAAAGCCTGGCCTAAAGAGCTTCCCATGGGGTGATTTAAGAGCCAGGCAGAGGTGGTGCTGAGGGCCAGGGTTTGGGGGTGGGATGGCAGGGTTAGGGGGACAGTTGGGCTTGATGATCTTAAAGGGCTTTTCCAACCTAAATGTTTCTATGATTCTATGAAGATCAGAAACCCCATAAGCCACCCTAAATCCCTGCTGTTTCTCCATCAAAGAGCTTTATAGCATTCCTGGCTCCAGCAGGGAGAATGGGATTTATTTGAAAGCTTTTTTCTGTGGTCAGGAGGTAGGACGAATTGGTGGGGTGTGGCCTATGAAAGCCTGGCCTAAAGAGCTTCCCATTGCAATGGGATCTTGGGTATGGCTTCTTTATCTGGGACTACCAAGCCCTGTCTTCCCCTATTGCAGCAGCAGCCACCCACCTTTCACTCCTAATGCCAGCAGCTCTGCAGCTGAGTGTGTGCTACAGGGGGCTCTCAGGCTGAAAAACAGCTTTAAGAGCAAAATCCCTCTTGAACTTGCTGCCATCGCTTATTACTGACATCAGTAATTTTCTTTACATGCATTTAGTAATGAGAATAAAAGTCTGGCTAATTTTAAGTCGAGCCAAGTTCTCATCAGGCTCATATTATTCATGGGGTGGAAACTTTTGGTGAATGCTGGGTTTCATCAAGGCTTAAAAAGTGGAGGGTTTGTGTAGAAACATTTGAATAAAGACCTGGCATTTGGGGAGGGAAGTGCCCTGGGAGAAATTACATTTAAGGGCTCTGTATGTGACAGCTACCTGCATTGGGACTGTTTGTACTTTCCTGCAGAGCAGCTCATGTTGGTGCCTTTGCGGTGTCTCAGGTTTGAGACCTTAAATTGTCTTTGACCTCTCTTCTCCCCACACGTGTGAGCAGGTTGCTCAGCAAGGAAAAGGTTATGGTTTCTTTTCTTGGCTTGGTCTCTTGTTCTCTTCCCTCTTTCCAACCATAAGAGTCAAAATAGCCCTACCTCCTTTGGGCAGCTGGATAGCTGATGTGATAGAGAGGGGTTTGGGGCATCTGCATCCTTGGTGAAATTAGTGGAATTGGGGTGCTCAAGGTGGTTAAAGATGACTTGCTTGTATGCCTGCACCCCTCTGAGATAACATGCTTATCTCTGAACATCCTCCTACCATGCGGGGTTGCGTTAGGTACAAGGGAGCAAAGGTGTGAGGGTGTCTGGGACCTGTTGGTCTCCACGTTGTTGCTAGCCACTTGCATTGAGGATGCTCTTGTGGCTGGGGAGACCAGCCCTTAATATCCCCCTCTTGTCTTACAGGTGGCGCCTAGGAAGCATCAGGACCTACAACCCGGAGCAGATCATGCTCAGTGCTGCTGTCCGCCGGTCCAGCCGGGACGTCAAGATCATGAAGGAGAAGCTGATCTTCTCAGGTATGGATGGGGCTGGTTGGTGAGAGCCCTTTGCTCCATCCCTCAGCTGCCACTCTACTCTCTGCTGATGGAGGACGTGGTCTTGATATGGGTGTCATCTCCTGATGGTGGGACAGGGTGACTGGACTGACCCTGCTGCATGGAACCACTTCTGGGTTATGGTCATGGCTCATGATCCCAAAGTGGTGCAGGTCTGGGCACTGATTTGCTCAGAAATCCTGCATATAAGTTCCCAAGTTATGCCATGCAGCTCTCATACTGTCCCACATCATCTCCACTCTGAATCATGAACAGTGTGCCAAAAGCCATAAAACCCATTAAAATAATGGCGTAGGTCACCACAAATAGTGATGATGATTTTGGGGCAGACCTTGGAATTCTATGGCCCTGTGGATTGAGGGGGTCCCAATACCCTTGTGGCTCCTCCCAGTGTCTATTTGTGTTGGGACTTCTCACCCCACATCTAAGAAAGGTCTCAGGAATGCGTACGAAGAGGGAAAGGTTTAGCTTTTAAAGATTAAAGCTGGTGCATAAGGCTGGAAAACTCACATCTGAAGGAATGTGAATCTAATCTCCCCCTGAGCTTTGGTATGGGTTTTCTTTCTTTGTATTTAGGGGCTAGAGACCTCCAGCAGGGGTCAGGGTTTATCGAACTGGGCATAGACACAGCAAAAAACCAACTCTTGCTTCAGAGAGCTTGTCGTGCAAAATATGGGCCTGATTCTGCCCTCCGGAGATGGTGAAAATCAGGTGTAAATCCAGGGAACCCAGTGAGGGAAAGCATTTGGTCACAGCAGAATTAAGCTTCCCCAACATGTCCTGGGCATAAAATGTCCTGGGCATAAAATGTCCTTAGAGGTAGGGGATATATATTAAAGTTTTGTGCCTCTGAAACAAATGTTCTTGCTTAGGGTGGGTGTTTCCAGTTAAAACATTGGTGGTTGCATGTTTTTCCCAGTGAAACCAGTGACTGTAGGAGTCTCCCCTTTTCCAGAATGGCCAATTGAATTAGGGATTAAGTTCAGGTGTTTTGCACCCTTTTCCCACAGGAGACTATTTCAGCCTGTGACATAGCATCGTATGTAGGGGGGGGTGTCCAGCTTTGCTTCTGATGGTGGCAGGATTGTCAGGGTCTGAAATGTAGAGGTGAGCTGCTATTTGGAGGCAGATCCTGTTTGGAACTGGTTTTAAATGGGTGCAGTGTTATTAAACCTGGGGTAAAATCCCTGTAGGATCAGATGGATGCCAAGTGGTGGAGTTGCATGGCTGCTCAGTGCCTCAGTTTCTTCATCCATGGGGGGCTCCAGGGACTTGCACCCCTGTGACGATGTCCCCCTGCTTCTCTACCCTCCCCAGAGATCAACAATGGCGTGGAGACCACGGACGAGCTGTCTCTCTGCTCCGAGAACGGCTATGCCAACGAGATGGTCACCCCCACTGATCATCGGGACACCAAGCTGCGGATGAACTGAGGGGCTCCAACCCAACCTGGCACGCGGCCACCCCCGCGTTCACTCCAGCAGCGAGAGCCGTGCTCTCCTGCTTGCTGTGGGATGGGAACCTTTGAGGAACTGCTGGTCGGGCAGAGACCCCTTCCCATACCCCATCACTAGCTGCTCCACCTCCCTGGTTGTAAGGTTGGGGGGCTTATTTTTGTAAATATGTAGAAAAATCTGAAATTTTTTGTCTTTTTTTTTTTGAGTGTAATTTTTCCAGGGCATGAATGGAAATACCGTGTTCATTAAATCCTTGACTTTATGGCTGAAGTTATTTGAATCTTGACATGACAGCCTGAGTCCCCTTGGGGCGTTCTGGGAAAAACACGTTGGACGTGTCTCCCCTTTCTCCCCCTTGCCCTGCTCCCCTCCTTCCCTTGGTGCAGCGACTGTGTAGCTGAATGTTGTGATGTTCTCGTGAAGTGTCGTTTCGTTATGGTTTTTTGTTCCCCCCCCCCTTTCCCCATTTCCTGAGCAATGAAGTTTTAGCTCTAATGCAACAGGAGGCTGTTTAGAGGAGAGAAGCTTTCCTAGGAGAGGAGATGGCAGTGCTCTTCCCTGCTGATGTTCAGAGCCAGGGACAGGGGTTGCACTGGCTCAGTCACTTGGGCATCTTCTCCCTGGTCTCATCCTCCTTCCCCGAAGCCTGGATGCTCTAAGGGGAATGGCCTTGAAATGTCCTGCCACAGTCTTGAAGGCAAATCCTGAGTATTGGGTGTAGATTGGCCTCTGCTGGCAGCAATGCTTTTGGTTTTTTGTTTGTTTTTTTTTTCTTTTTTTTCCCCTTTTTCTTTCTTTCTATCTTCTCCCTGAGTTGGGCTCTGTCGGGAGCCCAGATGGCTTGCAAAAAGCAATGCCGTGGGCGCAATCACCGCTCAGATCTGGCTAAAGTGCCTGCCACTCCCAAGTGGCATTTGCAGTCACTTCTTGCTTTCCTGTCCTTGCACCCACGTAGGAAGAGGAGGTGGTCGCGCAGTGTGAGCTTGCCCCTCTCTGGGCCAAGAAGGTGCCCATGGGTGAAGGGAGTTGTAAATAGTTGGGAAGGTGAAGCAGCCCCGGAGCGTAATTTATTCCTGCAAGGACACCTTTCCTCCTTTCTTTAAAATCAGGGTCTTTAAAGCTGCATGATCATGTCCTCCAAAGGAGCGATGGTTTTGCAGCAGATGCTGGCAGGCTCATGAAGGCAAGAGCTCTCATCAGCGTGTTTCCAATGCAAAAGGCTTTAAACCAAAATCCTAGACCAGAGGTTAAAAGAAAAAAAGAAAAAAAAAAAAGAAAAAAAGAGCTCAGAAACCAAGTAGATGACAGTTGAAGTTTATCCCCTTCCTGAAACGGCTCACAGCCAGCCCAAGGGCGGCCTCAGCTCTCTGCTCTTGACCTTCAAGGCCTTGTGGAGAGGACCCTGTTTTTGGGTCACTTTGCTGTTCGCACGGAGCTGGTTCCCAAGGCAGCTGAAGCCAGCTGGAAGGCTGCTGGAGCTGTGAATGGGTCTTGGCTCAGTCCCCGTGGCCTTCTGGTGTTGGGTTGCTCCCTTCCTTGCTGGAGCTTGGTTGACACAACGTGCAATGTGAGAAACCCCATTGAGTGCGAGCTTCCTTTGAAGCTTGGTGTGCGCTGCCTTGAAAGTGAGGGGACCATCAAAGTTATTTACTGTGAAGCGAATAAGAGCTGAGGCTGAGTCTTTGAGGGCTGGCCAAGGTGGGCTGTAGAGCTCGAGAGTGGCTGGGAGAAGTCACCTTGCAGAGGAGAAAGCGGTCTGGGGGTTGCCGATGTGCATCACATTTGAGACCCAAAGCAGGCTTGGAAAGGCTGGAAACAAACAACGATAAAACCAGCCTTGAGCACTTGGTTCTTGTTTCAGCAGCACTGAACTGCTCTATCTTTTTTAAGCTGTACTCCAGTAGCATTTTGAAACCCCAAAGTCTTGGGCTTCATGTGTAAGAACTGGGGGCAAAAGTGGCCAACTTATCTATGTAAAAGAAAAATATTGATATTGAAAATATGATAATGATTGATAATGAAAATATGAATTGCGAGGCTTTACTAAGCACCTCCTAAGCAGTGCCTAGCGAGACTTTAATTCCTTTGCATCTACCCTGGGTTTTTATGAATGTACGTGGAATAAGACCCCGGTCCATGCTCCCTCTTACCTTCCCCAAATACTGTCCTTCCATATGGTATTCTCTCAAGTCTGTGAAACACAGTGTGATTTTTTTCTGCAGAACTGCAAGATTTTGGTGGATTTGAAGGCTTTTGAGAACAAGGTTGCTTCTCCTTTTAATGTGGTGCTGTATTGAAACATTCCCGGTGGATTGTCATTGCCAAGTGAGAGATGTCGTTAAATCTCAGCATCTGTTGATAATCACCTGCATGTTCTGTTTTTATCCTTGGAGATGACTTTATTGAAAGGTCAAGTGCTTAAAAGCTTGGAAGTGTTAAAAGCAATCCAACAAAGAGTTGTTTTCACAATTCTCTTTTTTCTTTTTTGGTTTTTTTACGACAAGACCCAAACTTTATGCGTGATGCACTGACTGTTACCATGATCATCCTGGATACTTGCTACCTTTTTTTTTTTTTTTTTTTTTTAAAGGATGATACTTTTTTGATGAAAATAGAGCTAGACCAAAATAAACTCTGCAATGCTCTGTGAAATAAACTGTCAGTATTCCCCTGCCAGTCTGTGACGTTTTATGTTCTGGGATCACTTGAAAAATGGTGATGCCTTGATCTTCTCCTGTTGTTTCTGCTTTTTTGTGCTTCATGAGGGAGCTAAAGGTCTGACCAGAGGGAGGTTTGGAGGTCTGTCCTTCAGGTTGGTACAGTCATGTTGCATCTCCTCTTGACACCAAGCTGAGCAGTGCGGTTGAAACACCTGAGGGACAGGATGGCATCCAGAGGGACCTGGACAAGCTCAAGAAGTGGGTCTGTGTGAACCTCCTGAGGTTCAGCAAGGCCAAGTGCAAGGTCCTGCACCTGGGTGGGCGCAACCCTCGGTATCCACACAGGCTGGGGATGAAGGGATGGAGAGCAGCCCTGCCAAGAGGGACTTGGGGATACCAGGGGGTGAAAAGCTGGCCATGAGCGCTGGCAGCCCAGAAGGCCAACCCTACCCTGGGCTGCATCCCCAGCAGTGTGGCCAGCAGGGCGAGGGAGGGGATTCTGCCCCTCTGCTCTGCCCTGGTGAGACCTCACCTGGAACCCTGCATCCAGCTTGGGGGTCCCCAGCGCAGGACAGACAGGGACCTTCTGGAGTGGGGCCAGAGGAGGCCATGGGAATGGTCCGAGGGCTGGAACCCCTCTGCGCTGGGGAAAGGCTGGGAGAGTTGGGGGTGCTCAGCCTGGAGAAGAGGAGACTGTGGGCAGAGCTGAGTGTGGCCTTGCAGGGCTTAATGGGGCTGATAAGAAAGATGGGGATGGGCTTTTTAGCAGGGCCTGTAGTGATAGGAAAAGGGGTGATGGTTTTAAATGGAAAGAGGGGAGATTCAGACTGGATCTAAGGAAGAAATTCTTTACTGTGAGGGTGGTGAAACACTGGCCCAGGTTGCCCAGTGAGGTGGTGGAGGCCCCATCCCTGGACACATCCCAGGTCAGGTTGGACGGAGCTGTGAGCAACCTGATCTAGTGGAAGATCTCCCTGCTCATGGTATGGGGGTTGGACTCGATGACCTCTAGAGGTCCCTTCCCACCCAAACTGTTCTAAGATTCTGTGGTTCTCTCCCATCCAGGTTTTATAAGACAGTAGCTGAAAAGCAGTCATGTGAAGAGGAGGCGACTGTGCAGACCTGAATCTTGAACAGTAACTCTAGAATAATTTTTGTGTTTGTGGCCACATGGGGATAATGATGCACCCGTAGACCCAATCAGGCAGCAGTTTTAAACCAAACAAAGGGGAAGCAATTTATTTTTAACACACATTATGCAAGTCATTGCCCCAGGGTGCTGTGAAGGCCAAAAACCATATGCAAATTCAAAGAGGAATAAATGGCTCGTACGTCCATTAGCACTTATTAAACACAGGAGTCCGGATGCAAGGTCCAGCCTAGGAAGTCCCTGAGCAGTTCTTTCCTAAATGTGTATATTAAGGGAAAGGCTTGCTTGGCGCTTGCTCTGTTTTTTTTTTTTTTATTCTTTACCCCAGGATCTGCTCCCAGCTGCAGACAAGAGGGTGCTTTGGGTGAGACTGGGATCTTGTCTGGGTCAGTGTGGGATTGTTCTTTGTTCAGCAGCTGTTTTCTCCAGCCCCTGAATGGCTGCATTTAACTGATAGTTGAAAGGGATTAAAGTAAATACAGCACTATCTCACTGGTTGGTGATGGGTAGTCAGTACCGTGTCATGAATGTGACTGGCTCTGGGAATGCCATTTGAGTGTTAAATATAAAATTGCCCTAGGGGAAGGGGTAGAGCTCCTGATATCTACAATATCGAATAATCCCTAACTGGGGGCTGTACCCTAGGGAAAGGTATTGAAAAGTTGAAAGGAGAGAAAGGAGAGTCATGTAGGCTGTGTCTGTTATTTGAATAACAGAGTTGAGGATTGGTTGCTGGCTCTAAGCCCAAATGGCTTGGGACAGCCAACATTGTGCTGTTTAACTCTTTTTCTTCCTCTCTAAAACTGCCCTTATAAATAAGAGCTTACTGGTACAGCTGGGATAGTTCTCATGGTATCTGGGAACCTTTCCAGCCCTTTAAATTTGCCTTTAGAGTTGTAGTCTTGGGGTCTGGGAGGCAATGCTGACGTGACCATGCCCTAGGCCTACTCAGTTATCTGCTCTAAAAAGGATCTCATATCTCCACTAAAACCTTAATACGATGCAGTGGTTAGGAGCGTTTAAAGTTCAAGCTCAGCGTGAAAAGTCTAGCCACGATGTGAGCGGTGGCGGCATGAGGCTGAAGGCTGGTTCCCCTTTTCGTGGACTGTTGGTGCAAGCAGCCTCTTCTTGGCTGAAGCTCCTGAACAGGTTTCCAGCTCAGTGTGAGTATTGACCATATGTGAAATAAGAAACAAAGTTGGTTTTTTTTCCCTCTTAAGCCTCTTAGTTTTCTCTCTCTCTTCCTTCTTGACCCCGTTTCTGTTCTAGTTACTTCTCTGCCCTTACTCATCTACTTGGCTCTCCTGCTTCAGCCTCTTCTCCCAGGGGCTGGTGACTGCCCCTCACTTCTGCTAACTGGCTGAGGGTGAAGAGAGGGTGTCCTGACTCTCTCCATGGCAAGGTGTAGCCACGGATGGTGGTGCCAGGACTGCATAGACAGCTGTCCTGGATAGGACACGTTTCCTTCTCTCAGGCGTGTGGTGGGGAGGTACAGACCATAGCGTGATCCAGTCCTGGTGACCATCTCCCTCAGGATGTCTCACCATGGCCTCTGTTACCCGATTTATCCAAAACTCTCTTCTACCTTTCCTTTTGTCCTTTCCATTCTTTCTTCCTTGTTTTCTCTTTGGCTTAGCTGCATCCCTTCTCCTTCCTATGCCTTTCTTCTCCTGACATGCACTCTGCTGCTCTTTCAGAGAGCTTTGGTCCTACATTCACATAGAGCTTTCCCCAACAGACGCCTGGAGTTCCCAGTCCTATATACTCATATTTCCCTTTTGCATCTTTTTAATGCTTGTGGCTTTCTGCCTAATGGCTTCCATGGCCCATGTGCCAGGGGCTGAGCATTTTTAGTGTGAAAAAGGGATTTTGAGAGTCCTAATCCACTGTAAGAGCACTGCTTCTGGTATCTGCATCTACCCTGGGAGAAGACCCACGGCACTGGGAGCAAAGGAGAGGTTGAGCTCCTTCCCCTGCATAAGGTGTCCTTCCTCCAGCTCTGGGGGGTGTTTAATGCCCTCTGTTTCATGCAACCCATGTGTGGGTTGTAGCACAGCCTTTGCACGGTGACAGTCACTTTGGGGGATGGTGGCATCACAGGGGGAGATCCAAGGGCCAAGTGCAGTGCAGCCTGGTTGTAGAAATCTGTTCGGTAGGTGGCTTGGCATGGGCACAGGGACTGCTGCACCCTGCAAAACCTCCTCAATGTGGTCACTATGTGTTTACAACTCTTAGTAGCTGGTCTCCCCCACCTCCAGAGCTGCACACGCTGCTTGAAGCTGGGCTTTGCTTTTGAACAGGTTGGTAACCCCATGCTTTATGGCTGCAAGGAGATGACAGCTTTGCAACCTTGCTGAAGGGTTTGCAACACTCTGGAGATCTTTTTGCTGTGCCCCACAGGGCAGGATCAATGCTGTGGTGCCATTTGTCCTGACGACCCACTCCTGGTCATCTCTAGCTCCATCCGTGCGCAGATAGGGTTGCACCCCTGGTCGCTGTAGCTTGGCACTGCCAACTCTACCAGGGTAGGAAGGTCCTAAAAGCAAATCCCCCAACCCTCCCAGCCCACTGCACAGGCTGGGAAACCACAGTCCCTTCCAGGTTGCTGGTGATTCATATGCAAATGCTAAGAGCAAGTAGGATGCCAGCTTGTGCCCTGCATCACAGCGATGGGAGAGGAGCAGAAAGGAGCCAGCCAGCAAATGTGGCAGTGGTGCCCCACAAAAAGCCGGTTTCAGGATGACAAGCTGCAGGGGCTGGTTATTAATAATATTTCTCTTCCATCCAGTGTGAAATAATACAAGTTGTTCAAAGTGATGCTGGGCAATGGAGGGAAGGCTGGCTGCAGCACGTCAGGGAGCTTGACAGTCCTCAGCGCAAGGGTTTCTCTGCGGAGCTTCCCCAGGGCTGCTTTGATCCCTGCTATGAGCATTTCAAAATTCAGCCAATAGCCGGGGTCAAGTTGGAGGCGAGGGTGTAGAAAGCCACACAGGGCAAAACCCCCCTTCTGTCCTCATCATCCTTAAGGACCTAATTACCTAATTATCACACGTTAATGAGGGGGACTGCAGCTCCTCCCTGACCCAGTCTATTCCTGCTCCAGGCATCGTTTTGCTCGCAGAGCCGTATTTTATTTATCGGCTTTAGTGTGGTTTCCAGTGAGCCGGAGACTCTATCAAA